CAGGCGATCAACGGTTGTTTGGAGCACCTGACGAGACACACGTTGCCACGTTTCCTCTCTTCTGATTACTCAGCGCGGCGAAATGATAAAAACCGTCTCATCCTTCGACGAGCACGTCTTGATATCGCGACTGTATTTCAACAAACCGACACGTCAATGTTGCCCAAGAGACAACCAAGGTTGAATTAGGAAAAAATTTTCGTTTCGAGATGAAATTGCAGAAAATTGTATAGTTTGCGACCTTAACTTGTTTGGGTTGCGTGAAATGTAAAACCGTACGAATGCGGTAAGACGCAACAAAGAGAGTTTTACAAGGTTTCGAGTCCTTGCAAGTTGTTGAACAATGAACGGTAGGAAGAGATTAAGTGACGGCGACGTTTGCAAGTCTGGCGGCATGTTTTGGTTTAAGACAATGAGAACGCAGGCTAGAGGGGGGAAGAGGTTAATGAATTAGAGACACGTGGTACTTGTTTTCCGGAAAAGTTAAACGAATAGTTCACATAAGGAAAATATTTACGTGACTCAGAAAAGTGACCATTGTCGTACACAATTACTTAAGTGATATATAGAAGGCCGCCAGTTTTTTTACACATTCGTTTTGCGTTCGGCGCCATTTCAATTTCAAAATTTGACTATAAAAAAGTTCCTTGAGACGGAAATATTTAAAAAAAAACTCATAAAATTAATGTTCCTGGATATTGATTATCAGTGAGTAGTACAGGTGAACATCAATGGCACGTTTTCAAGCAAACGAATTGCTTTAAGTTTATTTTTTCCGGATTGATATAAGAATGAATTTTTGCGCCATCAAAATATTAAAAGCGCATGACACTGCCTTGTACTCTTGATTCGTACAGTACTGAAATCCTTGGGTAGTAAAAAATCACGACGTGATTAAAGTGCGTCAAAAACAACGTCATGTTATATGGTTATGACTTTAGTGATAAGATTCCAGATAATGAAACGATAACTATAATTTTTTTATTACTGATAAAGTTACATTGAAGTTATGCTAACACACAAAATCCAACAGTACAACATCCATGCTAAAGAAAAACCCGAACTGCTAGCTCTTCAAAAAAATTAGTAATTCTTTATTGAATTTGTTAGTTTTAAAATTTCGAATAATTGTGTCTCAACAAATACAACTGTGTACAAACGACACTTGTTTAACATACAAAATTGAAACTTTCAAGACTAATATTATAAACAAACTACGAACTAATCATTTTTATTAAAACATTTTTTATACATACACATATAAACTGATTGCTATCCTCGCTATTTAAAAATTTAATCTGCATGGCTATAATGAAATAATAAGCTTCAAATTCCGTTCAAATGCATAATCAACTCCGATCATAATGCCTGAGGTCAGCCCCAAAAACGCAAACGTAGCTTATGAGTTTAAATTTATTTTTATTTTTTTCGAAAACGTGACCATCATTTTCTCGTTGGTCATAAGTGACGAAACCAATTAAACATTGCATAATTTGTGAGTCCAATTCAGAAATCATATTTGCATAATAATTCCAAGTACACATTTTACACATATTTTTTGTTAATTTGTAAATCTCGCTGAAGAAATTTAGAACATGTATAAATTTGTAAAATTTCGTATTTCATTTTTTCAAATAGACCAATTTTGTTCTCAAGAGCAGAAAAATATGTTTGAAGTAATTCTAGCATCGTGATAACAAATATAATTTTTTTATCGGGTGACTAAACAGACAAGCGCCCCGTGCTTTAACTGTCAAGGAATGTCTGCCTAAATCTCAGAAGTCTTTTCTCGAATAAGAACTAAGCGCAATGAAGAAAAAACACCAGTTCTTTGATTCTGTGACAATAAAGTATGACTAAAAAAATGATCAACTCGTCTAACCGAACAATTGAATCCTGTTGTTTGTTGTCTTCTGCTCATGGAAATTGGAACAGCTTTTTTCATCCAGCAGGCGCTGGAGAAGTGTGGTTATGGCACCATCTAAATGATAGAGAGGAGTATCAGTTAACAGGTTATCCACTGCGATATTGTTTTACGTCACTTGCCAAAATGTCAAAATAGCGTCATAAACGACTGACTTTAATATTCAATTAATTTAAATACACGTGCTACAAAAATTCAAACACATTTTATTTATACATTTTCACATCAGAGAATCTTCTTCCTTGAAAGAACGATAATTTTCTAAATAATGCAAGTGTAGTAACAGTTACTAATTTATATTTAATGATGATAATAGGAAGAAATATGAAGAGAAAAGCCATAATTAAGGAAAAAATTGTGCGAATCTTATTCCTTGAATGTGTTTTTTACTTTCTTAAACTAATCTTACAGAATAGCAATTAAAAAGGTCATCACTTACGGCCAGTGGGAGGAAAATGGCCACTTTTCAATGTATGTTACTTTAAACATTTTTTTTTTTTCAAATATTCTTTTCATATCTATGGATATAAATGTTTTCTCTTTCCTTGTTAATTATTAATTAATTATTATTCATAATTACTATACATTAACCTCTAAATTCGAGGATTTTTATGAATTATGACACCCTCGAAACCCAGAAAACATTGGCGCCAACCACAAGCGCAAGGGTCGGAGTTGATAATGCGACCTTAAGTACATAAAGGGCACTGTCTATGGATTTATGGAAGCAACGGGTTCATTGATTTTAAATTTTCGATGACTTAAAAATCCTTCACCCGAGTTTCACTCGGACGAAATTATGCAAGTTTTAAATTTCTAAAATGCGGAGATTATTTGCAAAACGAGAGAGTAGTTTTTGGTATTTTGCATTAACAACAAAAATGTTCATCGTGACGGCTTCAAACTCTGTTACAACAAAAGCATTACATTACATAACCTATACAATTGTACACAACAAAAACCTAATACCCACTTTTTGAAAATCGAAAGTTTAACCAATTTCTGGTTATTTTTGATACATTGGGTAAAAATTTCGAAGTGACTAATATAAATGTAACCAAAACTTCTGAAATTCCAATCCACTTCAACGAATTATCTTTAAATTTATCTAAAAGATCAACGATTCACAGCATGATAAAGACCACCGTTCTGAGAAGTACAACAAAGTTAAAATTAGTTGGATTCTTAAAACGTTACATTCGCTAAAAACTTAACCGGACTCTGTATATTCCATTTAAGGTGATTCAATACGGCGTCATATTTTACCGTAAATTTCAATTTTTACAGTATGAGATATTTTTACCACAAAATTGTGTCAACCGGCTGTTAAATGTTAAAAATATTTTGCCAAAGCATTTAATAGTATGAAAGGCGTGATGTCATCGACGACTTAAATCTTTTGTGGCACCAACAGGACTTAAGTAAATTGTCTGAGGCAGTTTGCGCTTCTTATTATAATTAAAGTAAAGGAACTGTGGAAATAATTACAATGATGGTACCCACCTAAGCGTGGCTAAAATTTAACCACTTATGTACAACCCGTCATTACGAAAAAAATAACACAGTAGTCATCATTTTTCTATAATGATGTTAACAAGCTGAATTAAAATTTAATGACAGACTTAACTTTTCACGAATATCTCGAAACATGTTTCATATCGTTCAGAGTGGTTATTCTTAACATAAATATTTTAGAAAACTGACGTATCCGAGGTTGAAAGCTTTCTGATTTTATCATTTTCGTAAGACTAACTAGTAAGACAAAAGTATTAATTATTATTTTAGTAAATGAACATAAATAACTCGATGAAGGTTGACGAATGAATGATCAAAGTTTAAAATTCCCCATATTACAATCACACGTTATCGTGATTACTAATCCCACCAAACCTAAAATAATCGCTTGCATAAATAAATCTTGCAACAACGTAACAACGTGCCTATCACCACTTTCCACCGCATCATATCCTCAAAGCGAAAACTATAGAACTGCATATTTCCCTCCATTAAAATACAATAAGTGTAAACACATCGATTAATAACGGCAGACAGAGCGTCCAGAAATAGCCCTTGTTTGTTTTTTCCTTATGAATCACGTTATTGACAACTTATAACCAATTATCAACAATCCCGACTAAAACCTAAAATTTTCCCTCTTCAAAATAAATCAAAACAATCAATCATCGGCGAAACTCGGCGGCGACTTGCGAAGGCGTGACTCATAAATAATTAACAACACCAACAACAAAAAAATACAAAAAGTTTGTGTAACGGTCCGCAAGCAAACTCTCAAACAATCAGCGATAATTAACAGACACTGTTACTCAGGCAATTTTTCTCGACTAAAGACGCCAACTTTGCAAAAAAAGACGTCGGCAAATAGAGCACGACATGATAATCAAGATGAGGCGACTTTTAGGAAGAACCGTTTCGAAGAACGATCACCTGGTTTTGTAACGGAGTGAATCATTCGGGTAAAGCTCGCTGCGCTCGCTTGCGATTATAAGGCGTCCAGCAGTCGCAATCTTTGCTCATGCTTTTTTAATCTTTTGAGATAGTGGAAAATCGTTGAGTAATCAAAACAGTGTTATACAACAGTGTAATTAAACGAAGTAGAAAATGGGTCAAGATAAAAACTATTGCTAGAATCTCCACTAAATTCTACTTAAGACGGGAAACCGAGCTTGAGAAATTGTCGTCGTTGGGGTTTTACGTATCACTTAAATAGGCATGAATCATTTTCCCCGACAATGATAAGACTTGCGTATATTTGGTGTCTTTGTTTTCGGATATCTGTTCATCGACACACGTAAACAAAACATCAAAAACAAAAACGAGGTCCGAAATTCGTATGAGGTGATTATGTGCGGTCGTTGAAATTAAAAGCATTTCATAACGTAGGTGTATGTTTAATGATGAAACTGAATTTCATTACTACCTCGAGTAAGTTTAATAAGCTGTTTTTTTTGGCGAAAAATGAAAACATGTAGAGAATGTTGTGGTGTAAGTAAAAAACTGGTCACAACGCTCCCATCTGTCAAAAGCTATGGTACCCAAACATGGTCAGCTGGCTCACCTGATATGTGGTATTCCTATGCCACCATGTAGAATTTTGTATAATTTACTTTCATACAGAAGTTGTGGATGTCTTGCTCTAATAGATTCGAGTTTAACTGCCACTTCCTGACAAACAGAAAAAGACAAAGTTAATTGCAATCAATATGTGTTTGTGTAAGGGGGTGAAACCCATCAAGACCCCCCATAGGTCGCCGCGGGAGCCTTTTTCGCGCAGTGTCCACAATGTGGGGGGCAGCGTGGGGGCTCTCGGCCCCCTCGAAAGGTCAAATTGGCGTGAAAATTGTGAAATGTGTCGCAACAGAGGCCCATATCCTGGTAACGTAACCTACTTTTGCACGGTTGCAAAACAAAGCTCATTGCGATCGCGGTGGTTTTGGGGAGTTTTATTAATACAGTCGGAGTTGGAGGAGCGCGTTTGGGGGTTTCTGGAGGAGAAAAATAGAACGTTGGAGTAATGGCTGCCATTGTGGTTGAGGTCGGACAGGTTTCGTGTTTTTTCGAAACAAAGAACCGACTTAGGTTAAGACGTGTCTTGGGCGGGTGCGATGGGGGTCTTTCTCGCATTTTCTGGCATTTACCTCTCCGTTCGTGATGTTGATGCCCAGGTAGATGTCCCCGAAGGAGCCACTGCCGATTTTCCGAATTAAGCGATACTTGCCACCAACTATGAACTCCGTCTTGCCGATGCAATGCGACGCCATTTTTATAACAATTTTAAAAGTCTTTTCGCGGTCGGTTCAGCAATTTGGATGCCCGTTTGTTGGAATTTCACACACAATAACTATCACTTGTTCCACCAACACGCCGACATATTGGTCTGACTGATCGCTTCTGGTGACGTCACGGTGCTCTGCGGCCTCTTGCGGACGGAACGGGAACGAAGCAAACGAGGGGATCGTTTCGACGCTGGAATTTTACTTCTTTGACTTTGGGCTTCGTTGGGGCACTGATTTGCACTGACGCTGAAAAAAACTGAGCCACACGCACCGATTTGACTGACGGGAACACACGGGAATTTACACCGAACCGTTACCACGTTACCGACCGGACTGACAGATCGTGGTTACGGAGCTACGGATAGGCAGCGCTGCGAAACGAGAGGGAAACGCAGTAACCGTCAAAATGCGGAAAAGACAGCGCATCTAAAACAATCAGATGATTGTCATGCGATCATGACGTCACCGGAAAAATTTAAGTGCTTTGCAGACGCATTCGCCATATTGAATACCAGAATGTTAGTGGGAAATTTGAAATTTACTAACATTCCAGTTATTCCTTCCGAGTACGAAAAATAACCATGAAACAATAATTTATCTTGTCTTTTGTAGTTTAAAGTTCAGACTGCAACTATCTTTGAAATGATAATTACGAAAATTTACTAGGTATCCATTTTTCATACAACTGGAATAAATAGATGTGATTAACTTTGTTAAATCTTAGCGACGATGAAAAAATTCCACAATTACCTATATTTTTACAATCTCTAATAGCCTAATAGTTTGGCAACTCACTGGAAATTGTAGTTACATTTAAACTTACTTAATAATTTTGTCATGATTAAATCAAAATTTATACAAAATTATGCATAACTAAAATTAATAACAATTTTCCTCATCGCCTCCCTAAAAATCTATTCATTCACATAATAATGGACAGGAGAATTAAAATAGGTTAATATATACGTGGTATGTATACATTTATTAGCAAAGTGAAAAACTTACATTTTATTAGATGGAATATACAGTTGTGTATAAATTCGTTAATTTTATGTACATAATTATGTATTATTAACTAATAATCTTTATAGTTGAACACACTTTATAATAAATAATAATTTAATAATGACAACAAAAAAAAACTAAAAATAAAAAATAAAAGATAATTTTAGACTAAACACAAAATTTACAATTTAAACTTTTTTGACGCTAAAATAGGTCCTACGGACTACGGAAAACCCTCTTATTATAACAAAATGGTGCAAAATATTTTTCAAAATGGGACATATCAGTCGACATCCTTTTTCTTATTTTCCTGTATTCTGTTGATAACCTTTAGGATATTAAAAACTGCAGGAACTGTATAGTAAATATATACTTTGTATGCAGTGTTTCCTCTTACAGAACAGTCATGACACAGATAACTATTTGTCGTGAAAAACCGGTTTGCTCTTCCACAATTTTTCATCCACAAGATAAGCCGTTTTAAGTCGCTTGGAAAACGACCAGACCTGGACAGTATGCAGCCAAATACCATGTGAATGAACACCCAATCACATAATATACCAATTTTTTAATGTCTCCAAATTAAAAAACATTGTAAATTGTAATTAAAAAAATCTGGAACGACAGCATCAACAAATTAATTATCATACTAATAAACTTCATATCACACAAGAAAACACTGAACACCAAAGTTAGGTTAGCCAAGTGTCAAAACCTCTAATAAATGTGCCAAAATTTACCAACCTAGCAGCTGAAAACCTTCAGCGTGAAAGTTCCTAAGATACAAACTTTTATTGCTTGCGTCTGCTTGTGTAATACAGTATTTTAGAAAAAAATTACACACTTACATTTCGTATAATTCACACCAAAACATGTAAGGGATAATGGAATTTCACTGGCCGCTGTAAATAACGTTGTGAGGGTGGAATATATTCCTTCTAGAAATAGATGACACCAATTATCGTAAACTTAGGTACTTGCAATTCGAGATGTATACAAATCGTTTATGTGTTATATACGAAACAGTCACATACTGTGAAAGCAAATTTTTAATGTAATATTTATCTGCGGTACTCAGAGTAAATTTTCTAAAGTTGTAAAAATAGTAGCTGCGAAGATAAAACTGATTTTGGCAAATAAAACACCCTCTAAGAGAAGAGAGGGTGGGTGGGCAATACTAGTACCTGCTAAGATAAGAGTGGTTTTGTCAAATCAGATACCCTCTAAGAAAAGAAAGGGGGGTGAGCGGGGCTAGTACTTGCTAAAATAAGAATATAGAACAGAAGTTCTATATTTTTCATTTCTGGATTGTTTTAGAAACTTTGTCTTTTCTTAGATTTCCCCGGATTCTTTAGAATTCTCTTGAATTTGTTTGAATCCCATTGGATTTTTGCGTATTCTATCGTAATTTTCCGTATTCTTCCGGATTCTTTCGAATTATCTAGAATTCTCTCCGATTCTCTTGGATTTTTTCGTATTCGGTAGTATTTTCTCGTATTCTCGCGGATTCATTCGAATTCTTTCAAATCCTCTCGGATTTTTGCGTCTTTTTCGGATGTTTCCGGAGTCTCTCGGATTCTTTCAGATTCAGATTCAGAGTCTCTTGGATTCATTCGAATTTCTTCTGATTCTCTTGGACCTTTTTCTATTCTCTCGTATTGTTCTATATTCTTTCAGATTCTCTCGAAGTTTCTCGGCTTCTTCCGATTCGTCTTAACTCTCTCGAATTCTCTCCGATTCTCTTGGGTTTTTTCTTTCGTATTCTTTCGAATTGTTGAATATTTTTCGGATTTTCGCAGAGTCTATCAGATTCTCCCGTCTTTTCTCCGATTCTTTTGCATTTTTTCATATTCTCTAGTATTCTTCCGTATTCTATCGGTTTCTTTTGGTTTCTCTCAAAGTCCCTCGGATTTTTTCTGAAATTTTACAACATTTTTTATGATCGACTAGACTATTTTTACAAGTTACATATTTTTCAATTCTTTTTTTTTTAGAAATTTTGACTTTTTATTATTTAGAATTATCTCAGATTCTCTTGGATTTTTTTCGGATTTTCTAGTATTTTCTCACGGATTCATTCGGATTCTTTCAGATCCTCTCGAATTTTTGCGTATTTTTCGAATGTTTCCGGAATCTCTCAAATTCTTCAGATCCATCCGGATTCTGTTGCATTTCTTCGAATTCTCTCAGATTCTCTTGGACTTTGTGTATTCTCTCGTATTGTTCGATATTCTTTCAGATTCTCTCGGATTCTCTCAGAGTCTCTCGGATTCTTCCGGATTCATCCTGATTCTCTCGAATTCTCTCCGATTTTTTCGTATTCTCCAGTATTTTTTGGCATTCTCGCAGATTCATTCGAATTCTTTCAGATCCTCTCGGATTTTTGCTTCTTGTTCGAATGTTTCCGGAGTCTCTCCGATTCTTTCAGATTCATTCGGATTCACTTCGACTCGTTCCAATTTCCTCTGATTTTCTTGGACCTTTTTCTATTCTCTCGTATTGTTCTATATTCTTTCAGATTCTCCAGGAGTTTCTCGGCTTCTTCCGATTCGTCCTGATTCTCTGGAATTCTCCCCGATTCTTTTTGGCTTTTTCTTTCGCATTCTATCGAATTGTTCAATATTTTTAGGATTTTCGCGGAGTCTCTCGGATTCTCTCGAGTTTTCTCCGATTATTTTGTATTTTTTCATATTCTCTAGTATTCTTCCATATTCTGTCGGTTTCTTTTGGCTTCTCTCAAAGTCCCTCGGATTTTTTTCGGAAATTTTACAATATTTTTTACGATCCACTAGACTATTTTTAGAAGTTCTATATTTTTTATTTCTGTTTTTTTTTAGAAATCGTGACTTTTTTTGATTTCCCCGGATTCTTTCGGATTCTCTCCAATTTGTTTGAACTCTTCGGATTTTTTCGTTTTCTATCGTATTCTTTCGTATTCTCTCGTATTCTTCCATATTCTTTCGGATTCTCCCGAATTATCTAGAATTCTCTCAGATTCTCTTATTTTTTTTTAGTATTATCTAATACATTTGTCACATTCTCGCGGATTCATTCAGATTTTTTATGATCCTCTCGGATTTTTGCGTCTTTTTCGGATGTTTCCGGAGTCTCTCGGATTCTTTCAGATTCATCCGGATTCTTTTAGATCATCTCGAATTTTTACGTCTTTTTCGAATGTTTCCGGAATCTCTCAAATTCTTCATATTCATCCGGATTCTATTGCATTCTTTCGAATTCTCTCAGATTCTCTTGGACTTTTTTGTAGTCTCTCGATTTGTTCTATATTCTTCCAGATTCTCTCGGATTCTGTCAGTCTTTCGGATTCTTCCGGATTCGTCCTGATTCTCTCGAATTCTTTCCGACTCTCTTGGGTTTTTTGTATTCTTTCGAATTGTTCAGTATTTTTTTGGATTGTCACGGAGTCTCTCGGATTCTCTGAATTTTTCTCCGATTCTTTTGGATTTTTTCATATTCTCTAGTATTCTTCCGTATTCTATCGGTTTCTCTTGGTTTCTCTCAAAGTCCCTCGGATTTTTTCGGAAATTTTACAATATTTTTTACGATCCACTAGACTATTTTTAGAAGTTTTATATTTTTTATTTCTGATTTTTTTTTAGAAATTGTGACTTTTTTTATTTCCCCGGATTCTTTCGGATCCTCTCCAATTTGTTTGAACTCTATCGGATTTTTTCGTTTTCTATCGTATTGTTCCGTATTCTCTCGTATTCTTCCATATTCTTTTGGATTCTCTTGAATTATCTAGAATTCTCTCAAATTCTCTTATTTTTTTTTTTTAGTATTCTCTAACACATTTGTCTCATTCTCGCGGATTCATTCGGATTTTTTCTGATCCTCTCGGATTTTTGCGTCTTTTTCGGATGTTTGTGGAGTCTCTCGGATTCTTTCAGATTCATCCGGATTCTCTTGGACTTTTTTGTATTCTCTCGTTTTGTTCTATATTCTTTCAGATTCTCTCGGAGTCTCTCGGATTCTTCCGGATTCGTTCTAATTCTCTCGAATTCTCTCCGATTCTCTTGGATTTTTTCGTATTCTGTAGTATTTTCTCGCATTTTCGCAGATTCATTCGAATTCTTTCAGATCCTCTCGGATTTTTGCGTATTTTTCGAATGTTCCCGGAGTCTCTGCGATTCTTTCAGATTCATTCGGCTTCTCTTGGATTCGTTCGAATTTCCTCTGATTCTCTTCGACCTTTTTCTATTCTCTCGTATTGTTCTACATTCTTTCAGATTCTCCCGGAGTTTCTCGGGTTCTTCCGATTCGTCCTGATTCTCTCGAATTCTCTCCGATTCTCTTGGGTTTTTTCTTTCGCATTCTTTCGAATTGTTCAATATTTTTCGGATTTTCGCCAATTCTCTCGGATTCTCTCGAGTTTTCTCCGATTCTTTTGCATTTTTTCATATTCTCTAGTATTCTTCCGTATTCTATCGGTTTCTTTTGGCTTCTCTCAAAGTCCCTCGGATTTTTTTGGAAATTTTACATTTTTTATGATCGACTAGACTATTTTTACAAGTTCCATATTTTTCAATTCTGTTTTTTTTTTCTTAGAAATTTTGGCTTTTTATTATCTAGAATTCTTTCAGATTCTCGTTAATTTTTTCGTATTCTCTAGTATTTTCCCACGGATTCATCGGGATTCTTGCAAATCCTCTCGGATTTTTACGTACGTCTTTTACGAATGTTTCCGGAATCTCTCAAATTCTTCAGATTCAACCGGATTCTGTTACATTCTTTCGAATTCTCTCAGATTCTCTTGGACTTTATTGTGTTCTCACGTTTTGTTCTATAATCTTTCAGTTTCTCTCGGATTCTCTCAGAGTCTCTCGGATTCTTCCGGCTTCGTCCTAATTCTCTCCGATTCTCTCGGATTTGTTCGTATTCTCTAGTATTTTCTTGCATTCTCGTGGATTCATTCGAATTCTTTCAGATCCTCTCGGATTTTTGCGTCTTTTTCGAATGTTTCTAGAGTCTCTCTGATTCTTTCAGATTCATTCGGATTCTCTTGGATTCGTTCGAATTTCCTCTGATTCTCTTGGACCTTTTTCCATTCTGTCGTATTGTTCTATATTCTTTCAGATTTTCCCGGAGTGTCTCGGCTTCTTCCGATTCGTCCTGATTCTCTCGAATTCTCCCCGATTCTCTTGGGTTTTTTCTTTCGCATTCTTTCAAATTGTTCAATATTCTTCGAATTTTCACCGAGTCTTTCGGATCCTCTCGAGTTTTCTCCGATTCTTTTGCTTTTTTTCATATTCTCTAGTATTTTTCCGTATTCTATCGGTTTCTTTTGGCTTCTCTCAAAGTTCCTCGGATTTTTTCGGAAATTTTATAACATTTTTTATGATCGACTAGACTATTTTTACAAGTTCTATATTTTTTAATTCTGTTTTTTTTTTAGAAATTGTGACTTTTTATTATCTAGAATTCTCTCCGATTTTCTTTAATTTTTTCGTATTCTCTAGTATTTTCTTACGGATTCATCCGGATTCTTTCAGATCCTCTCGGATTTTTACGTCTTCTTCGAATGTTTCCGGAATCTCTCAAATTCTTCAGATTAATTCAGATTTTGTTGCATCCTTTCGAATTTTCTCAGATTCTCTTGGACTTTTTTGTAGTCTCTCGTTTTGTTGTATATCCTTTCAGATTCTCTCGGATTCTCTCAGAGTCTTTCGGATTCTTCCGGATTCGTCCTGATTCTATCGAATTTTCTCCGGTTCTCTTGGGTTTTTTCTTTCGTATTCTTTGGAGTTGTTCAATATTTTTCGGATTTTCGCAGAGTCTCCATGATCCTCCCGACTTTTCTCCGATTCTTTTGGATTTTTTTATATTCTCTAGTATTCTTCCGTATTGTGTCGGTTTCTCTTGGTTTCTCTCAAAGTCCCTTGGATTTTTTCGGAAATTTTATAATATTTTTTACGATCAACTAGACTATTTTTAGACGTTCTATATTTTTTATTTCTGAATTTTTCTTAGAAATTGTGACTTGTTTTGATTTCCTCAAATTCTTTCGGATTCTCTCCAATTTGTTTGACCTCTATCGGATTTTTTCGTTTTCTATCGTATTCTTCCGTATTCTTTCGTATTATTCCATATTCTTTCGGATTCTCTCGAATTATCTAGAATTATCTCAGATTCTCGTATTTTTTTTAGTATTCTCTAATGCATTTGTCTCATTCTCGCGGATTCATTCGGATTTTTTCTGATCCTCCCGGATTTTTGCGTCTTTTCCGGATGTTTCCGGAGTCTCTCGGATTCTTTCAGATTCATCCGGATTCTCTTGGACTTTTTTGTATTCTCTCGTTTTATTCTATATTCCTTCAGATCCTCTCGGATTCTCTCAGAGTCTCTCGGATTCTTCCGGATTCGTCATGATTCTCTCGAATTCTCTCCGATTCTCTTGGGTTTTTTCTTTCGTATTCTTTCGAATAGTTTAATATTTTTTGGATTTTCGCCGATTCTATCGGATTTTCTCGAGTTTTCTCCGATTCTTTTGCATTTTTTCATATTCTCTAGTATTCTAACGGTTTCTTTTGGTTTCTCTCAAAGTCCCTTGGATTTTTTTTAAATTTTACAAAATTTTGTATGATCGACTGGACTATTTTTACAAGTTCCATATTTTTGAATTCTGTTTTTTTTTTAGAAATTTTGACTTTTTATTATCTAGAATTCTCTCCGATTCTCTTTGGTTTTTTCGTATTCTCTTGTATTTTCCCACGGATTCATCCGGATTCTTTCAGATCCTCTCAGGTTTTTACGAATGTTTCCGGAATCTCGCAAATTCTCTCAGATTCTCTTGGACTTTTCTGTAGTCTCTTGTTTTGTTCTATATTGTTCCAGATTCTCTGGGATTCTCTCAGAGTCTCTTGGATTCGTCCTGATTCTCTCAAATTCTCTACGATTTTCTTGGGTTTTTTCGTATTCTTTCGAATTGTTCAGTATTTTTTCGGATTGTCGCGGAGTCTCTCGGATTCGCTGAACTATTCTCCGATTCTTTTGGATTTTTTCATATTCTCTAGTATTCTTCCGTATTCTATCGGTTTCTCTTGGTTTCTCTCAGTCCCTCGGATTTTTTCGGAAATTTTACAATATTTTTTACGTCCACTAGACTCTTTTTTTTTATATTTTTTATTTCTGATTTTTTTTTTAAATTGTGACTTTTTTTGATTTCCCCGGATTCTTTCGGATTCTCTCGAATTATCTAGAATTCTCTCAGATTCTCTTATATTTTTTAGTATTCTCTAATACATTTGTCTCATTCTCGCGGATTCATTCGGATTTTTTCTGATCCTCTCGGATTTTTGCGTCTTTCTCGGATGTTTCCGGAGTTTCTCGAATTCTTCGGGATTCTCTTGGACTTTTTTGTATTATCTCGTTTTGTTCTATATTCTTTCAGATCCTCTCGGATTCTCTCAGAGTCTCTCGGATTCTTCCGGATTCGTCATGATTCTCTCAAGATTTCTCCGATTCTCTTGGATTTTTTCGTATTCTCTAGTATTTTCTCGCATTCTAGCAGATTCATTCGAATTCTTTCAGATCCTCTCGGATTTTTGCGTCTTTTTCAAAGTTTCTGAAGTCTCTCTGATTATATTCCGTCGTATTGTTCTATATTCTTTCAGATTGTCCCGGATTTTCTCCGATTTTTTTGGATTTTTTGATATTCTCTAATATTTTTCCGTATTCTATCGGTTTCTCTTGGTTTTTCCTAAAGTCCCCCGTATTTTCTCAGTAATTGTTCAATATGTTTTACGATCCACTAGGCTATTTTTAGACAACGCAAGGAAAATCTCCTTAGGTCCCATCAGTACAGCATATTTCATTGGTTGTCCAGTATTTGAATTTTTGTACTTGTTACCCTATAAGGTAAACAAACTAACGTCCAGGAAGTAGCTGTTTTCATCCACTGGTTGGTCCAAGTCATTTATCAATTGCGACAAAAATTATAATGAAACCCAGAACTTACTTTTAAAGTTACTTTAACACTTCATTGAAACGAGCGATAACTAACAGTTTTTGGAGATTTCAGTATGACCCAGGATAATAGGCATCGTCAAAAAACGCGTTTCATCTCAGGCAGGTTTTTCAATATTATTTAACACTTTTTGAGATGACGTTGTTATATTTCTAGAGAGTACATGAAACTTAGGAAATGCAAAATGCATCAATGTTCTAGGAACAAATTTTAAAATAATTTTAAACGAGTTTTATAATACTGTACTAAAACATTTTTTCAGCACACAGGAAATGTGAAAATGATCATCATTAAACCGTTGGTGCATCCTTTATTAGCCGACTTATTTTCTTCCAGTATGTAATCAAATCTAATTTTTACACGATTTCAATTTTACCAGTGATCATCGAGTTAAATTAAAGCTGACATTACGATTAGACTTGAGTTTCATAGATTTAGCATTTTATGTGTGAATAACAGTACATTATTAATGGAATTTGAACATTAATGATGTTATTCTTAGTACTTACGACTTTCTTCTGTAAAATCCAGTTATTAATTATTTAAACCTCTCTGATGCAACTTTTTATTATCCATTATTATTTAAATTTTTTATTCTAAGAATTACTGAATACGTGTTTAATTCGGCCTACACAAATTGTACAAGTACCGTATTGGCGAAACATCCTTCACATCAATTTATTTTAAGATGAAATTTGTTAACTATTAAATTATACTATGAGTTAAACAATGAAAGTTAAATTGAATGTGACGCATAAAATGTAAAAGGATACTACGCACATGATAACTATATAGGTCACTAGGTTAGAAGTTCTTAAACACGTACGTCTCATATTTATATTTTCGGAGCTTTTCAGTGTCAAGTACGTACAGATAATAAAAATAAGTATAACAAGTGCTTAGAATCTAGACTAGAGAATCAAAAACCTGAATCACACGTTACAACATGATCAGAATAATTGATTAATGTTCCAAGAGATGCTTTTGGCACTTTTCACCTGAATGCACTCTAGCAGCAGCCTGAAATAACTAACTCTAACAATAATGAGCAAAAAGTGATAAAAATTTCAAAAAATCCTATAATCACAAGAGTATGGGGTCAATTCCCCCATTAAAAAAACAACCTAATCTCTTCACAACTCATTACAACTATCACAACTCTGCAACGGCCGTCTCGGCCATGAACTCTTCGCCAAAATCCGATCTCTAGCCTCGATCATCCCCTTCAACTCCCTCTCAAATGGTATAATGTAGGTCTCTTTCCACTCACTAACCGTGTAATTGTCATAAACTTCAAACATAGCTGCCGTAATTTCAGTGTCAACCTGACTCAATTCGCCCATAATCCTGCTCAGCGGCGCCGTCACACTCTGCACATGCTGGGGATTGGAAAACTCATGATTCCTGTTATACTCATTCAGCCACCCCTTCACCCTCGAATCCTCTAAAATGTTCTCGTACTCCTGCTTGAGTTGTTGAAGTTTTAGCACCCCCTCTAGAATATCCCCGCCGGGGTAGGAGCAACGAGGGCTTCCGAAGACCGAGCCGATGAGGGCGTAGGGCTGCTCGCAGCCCAGGACTTTGGCGACTTCGGTGGGCGGGCTTAGAGGAGAGTCCTTGTAGCCCAGGATTACGCGTAAACTCATGGCCAGCGAGGGTAGACTGACCGGGAGGAGTTCGCAAAGGACGGCGAAGTGGTCGTACCGCTGCCAGCCTGTGATTATGATGCCTTCGAAGGTTATGCGGTTTTTGTATTCCGACATGAGCGACAACCACGAGCGGTGGTTTTGAACGTAGTGGGTGACGTCGGAGACGTACTGGTTGCTACCTGAACAAGTTTGAAAAACAATATCATTATCTAGAAAAGTAATAGCTAAGTTGTCGGAACAATTGAAATTTTTATATTGTAACAGTGCGTGTTGACGGTCCATAAAAGCGATACCTAAGGTCATTAATTTCATCAAGCACGCTAGTTTGCGAATTGTGGACCGTTTGTTGTTCATTTATGGTTAAACGAATTATTCGTAAAGTCAAAATATTTCACTCGGATTTTAATCACGTTTACTTGGACTGGTTACTATCTATAGAAAGTAAGTTTAAAGCATCGTGCTCAATTATAAAAAACAAACATTTTTAATTAGCAATGTCTTGCTTCATGATTTAACCGCGTGTTTTGTGTTTTCAATATCTCATGATTACCATTACTATCTTATAATGATATTATAGATAATTGTATAAATCTTATAGACATAATTATTCAAAATCTAACATCCTATTTTATACTTATATTTGACACATTATTTATTAATTATTATTGCTATTATATTACTTTTTACATTTCAAGCGTAAGCTTGAAGTAAGTAAGGGTATTATTGTTATAAGATCCAATTGACGAAAGGCTATTTTTTCCCTCAACGTTTCAACTCTTCTAGAATATGAAAAAGTAATTTGCGTAAGTAATCCTCACCAAAAATATGATCACGTCATCTCAAAATTTTGCTAAATAAATCCTGCCTAAATTGTACCAATTAATATGTTTCTATACCTACGGTTTATTATTCTAACCTGATTTTTAAATTTGTCTATTTATCCCTTCTTATTAACAATAATAATATTTGTTTCTAATAGGTTAGAAGACCACAGGAATTTATAAAGTGAATACAGGTATCCCCGATAAAACCCCGCGACCTAATATCTTGAGAACGAATAGAGATATTAAAATTGTAAACTGCCATCCTTCACAATGAACATAAACTTCATATTAGTTCGCGATTAATGTTGTTATACTAAATACACCAGTTTTTTTTATTTTTTGTTTATATCGTCTCAATAATAAATCTAAGGACCTTACATCTGGACTGCGAGCTGGCCACTGAGTAAGGCCTCTATTACCAATCTAATTTTCATAATAAGTGTTCCTTAGAATTAAGAGAAATATTCCTGTAACCCAAGATTTTTTGCATTAAAAATTAACATATAATTGTATTTGTATATTTGTTTCCATGACAATATATGACAATTCGATATTACCTCTTCATGTAGATAATTTATATTTTTTACAGTTAAAACGAATACGACACATACAAGTACCGAGTGACTATCAATGTTTGATTTTTTATCAGGTTAGCAATATATTTAAAATTTATAATGGCATACCTGATTGCCAAATTGGAATTTATGGCACCACGTTAGTAGCTGTCATCTCCTCGCCAAGTTTGTTAGGTGCGTCAAAATTGACAACTCGAGATGACATACTAGCATTGCTGCTAATAATTCAGAATTGCTAACACAAAAACTTGCTTCGATGGTCAATAGTCACTTGGTATCTCACATTGTTGTAACCGCAATTTAACGTCTAGCAAAATCCATTAAAAATGTATATGTTGCAATTAAAAAAAAAGTGGCCGTCCTCAAGATAATTTTATCTGGAACACTTGTATCTACTCATTGTAACTATACTGTTACGAAATAAACCCGTACGCCGGCCCGGTATGACGCCTAAAGGTTTTAGTATATACGATGACTCATTGTCCGTGACGGCGGCCGGGGAAGAGCCTGGAAGCGGATGTCGCGACGGGTGTTCGAGAATAAGCCTAGAAGCGGTCTTCGGGAAGGACCGCGTGGCTGTTTAAATGGGCCACCGTCGGGAGCAGTTAGGTAGTCCAGAGCTGAGTTCAGTTAACAAATCAAGTCCAACGAGTGTCGAGAAAACCCAGTCGAGTTGTGCCGGAATTATTTTGTACATAATCGCTGTGTGATAGGACGTGTAATTTTGAGCTACTAAGAAATAAATTGTTGAGATTAACCCATGCCGTTGAAGTAAAAAAAAACGTTAATGCAAACCGTCTTTGGACAAATTCTGAATATTTCCAATATACTAGACTTTTACAGAGGTCGAAATTAATAATGCAGATATGTACTTAATACTAAATTAAACTTTTGTATAAACTTGGTATTTTTGGCGCTGATCCATACCCAGTACAGTTTCCTCTCTCTAAATTCGCAATTGTTTAATTATTTTATATATATAAATCATACATCATTCATTCAGACATTTTGTTGATTAGTTTATTACTTATTTATTTTCAAATATGTCGCGATTTTACCATATTAGGTGTTTTTTTGTGATTTTTTTTTCTATTTTTTGTATCAGTAGAAATAAACATTTTATAATTTCTGAAATCAGTTTTCTATTCTGCATCAAAAAATGTGAAAAAAATCTGGGTGTTTCATAAAAAAAAAATAGGCGGCCTTGTATATCAAACCGAAAGCGATAAAAAAGAAAACAATATTGTAATCAAATCGCTATGTTTAACTATACAGGGACCTCATTTTATCTGTTTACGCCTGACAATTTTTGAATAAGCAACATAGTATACACCGCAGAGACGACTTCGTCCACAGTGACAAAGATGTCGATGCCAAATAATGACAAAATTGAAAAAATTAATACTCAATTTATTAATAGATCAGATTACAACGAAAACGAGTTTATAATAAATGTTCAAAATGCCTGCCTTCACTATCTTCACAAAGTCCTATCCTACGTTCAAAATTTCTACTAACTCTATCTAACATGTCGGGAGTTATAGATCTGCATGACGCTATTATGCCCAAATTCCCATAAATTTTTTTCAAGTTTTCTAAACGCTTGATTTGAGAAAATTGAAAATATTTGGCTGACAGAAATAATTTGTCATAATTTTCGTTCTGATCATTGCTATCTATACGTTCTAATAAGACAATAATATTGTCAATAATTAACAGTATTAAGAGTAGTCACCAGAATGAAGAGGGGGTGGGTGGGCGGGCCAAATCCTTGCCTATAAAAGACTCTCTTGGAAAAAGTTAAACTTAACCCCGCCCACCCACCCGTTCTCTCATTTTTTGTCTTCTGAAATAAGAAATAAATCTTATAACAAATAGTACAACAAAAAACTTACGATTGGCGCTTTTTTTACAGGCTAGTATCTATCAGTTACTTACCACTCCCACTCTGCAGAAGAACATATAATAAATCCCGCCCACCTATCCGCCTCCATTTCGGTACCTAATTTTACATAAAAAAAGTACTACCCCAATTGAAGAGAAGAAGAAGAGGAAACTTAAAACATGTTTGAAATAGTAAATTTATGTAGAAAAATATGGATTTTGCAATTAAACTCCGCCCCACTATCTGACAACGAATAAAAAATTCATCACAAGTGAAATAGGGGCGGGTGGGTGCGGGTTAATTATTATTGGCTTCTTTTTCTCAATATACACCTATTTTCAATAACACCAGACACTATTTGATATTTTTAAATACTATTTTATTGTTGAAAGAAGACTATTATCAGTGAGTATAGAGTTAAAAGAGAGGCAACCTTATGGACAAGTGCGGGGCTAATGCTCCGTCTTACCCCTCACTTCACTTCATCCACAAACGTAATAGTGGATAGTGGCTCTCCCTCCTTTTTTCTTGTGAACTACGTTAACAGTAGTCTGGACGAACACCAACTCATCAGACTTGTGGCCAGTGCGATTACGTTAAAGCAAAATAGCCCATCCCCAAATGAACGGTGGACTGGTGAAAGGTTTTTGTACAATTTTAACCAAATTTCAGCTTTTCTTTAATTATTATTGTTATGATAAGCACATGTTGACAACATGCCAGTAAATCCCAATTTTTGGAGGATGCCTGGTGTATGCGTTTAAATTCATCCTTTATTTAAATAAAAAAATTGGTCTAAAGAGTTTAGCCAGTACTTCCCTCGCTGTTGGAAACGTGACGACTGCATGCCTATTGTGTTTTTTTTCGCAGTAGATTTCATATATTTTTTTTTGAGTTACCCGGTATATGCAAATTCAAAAAATATGAATGGAATGATAAATTACAAGTACAGACTCATCATATTTTGTATATTCTAGATAGGATTTATTCGGCAAACTTTTGAGCTGACGTCAACAAGTTTTTGGAGGGGATAACCAACTATATTCTGACTAAAGATTTATGATGCTCTTTATAACCTTAAAATATCTGCAAGATTTCAAAGCATTCGGTTTTGTAGTTCTTGATTAACTCAATAAAATATATTCACGCATTCATTAATTTTTTGGAGTCACCCTGTATATAGAAATCCAAAAAATATGAATGGAGTGATAGATCACAAGTACGGACTCATCATATTTTGTACATTTTAGATATGATTTATTCCACAAACTTTTGAGCTGACGTCATCAAGTTTTTGGAGGGGATAAGCAAATATTTTTTGAGTAAAGATTTATGATGCTCTTTATATCCTTAAAACATCTGCAAGATTTCAGAGCATTCGGTTTTGTAGTTCCTGATTAAATCAATAAAATATATTTACGCATTCATTAATTTTTTTGAGTCACCCTGTATATGCAAATCCAAAAAATATGAATGGAGTGATAGATCACAAGTACAGACTCATCATATTTTGTACATTTTAGATATGATTTATTCCACGAACTTTTAAGCTGACGTCATCAAGTTTTTGGAGGGGATAAGTAAATATTTTTTGACTAAAAATTTATGATGCTCTTTATAGCCTTAAAACATCTGCAACATTTCAAAGCATTCTGGTTAGCAGATTAAAAATTAAATTTCAAAATATTGTTTTATAATTTTGATTTTTTTTCCAAAAATCTGGACGTTTCGGGTGAAAAGTCGATTCAGAGTTGTAAACTACATGTGTAGGACTATGTTATTTTATACAATTGAAAACCCATTTACTATGTACAATTTTGAAGTGACGTCATCGCATTAGTGGTGGGGATGATTAGACAAATTTTGGTTAGCGTTTTACCATCTACATGATATTC